CTCGGTGGAACAACCCTCTTGGGGATCGACAGATCCGCGAGCCACCGTGGGGAGGGACCCACTGGGCGAGCGACAAAACCCCAGACGCGACAAGCGACAACTAATGGCCTGACGACGGCTGCAAAAATGCAAAGTTTTTATTGACCAGTTCGATTTGAATCATTTTCGCATGAATTACTGCGGGCTCTTTACTATCCACACTACGCTAGTTTGTTTCACAGTTCACATCCTGGTTTTTCACATAAGGTGCGTTCAACTCAATCTTGCTTACTTACGTGCACTTGCATTTTCTACATATTGTGGCGCACCATATGATATGGTCCATATCGTGTGTTTATTACTCCTTGTTCGTTGCGTACTGTGATTAACATCAACAAGTACTAACATTTTAGTGCGTAGCATGTATGGCACCAGTGATCTAATGCTGTGGCGCGGCATCTTTTGCATTAGAGCTGCCAGCTGCTCCGGAATGAGGCAGATAGTTAAAGCTCGTTTCCTACACCTCCACCTCTATACTGGTCACATTGCATGCAGTGCTTGGTGGTAGTTGACCTGCGACGTGTGCCTATCATTCATGCAAGTACTGCAAAATACTTCAGCCTATCGTGCTCAAGCCTTGACACGCGTAGTAGCGACGAGCCCCCGCAGCGGAGGCTCTCCCAGAGCCGACTGCCGGGATCGGAGCCTACCATACAGGTCGACCGTCGAACTCAATCCAGGTTTCTCAGCGTCTTCAATTTGGTGCGCTCAAGCGTTAGGCTTTACATGCAATTTTCAATAACATGAGCTTCATAAGCTCTACAAGCCGTACCTCGCACACACTTTGTCTTTTACTGGTATTAGAACCTACGATCCTCAGTGGAGATTCCCCACCCAGGGAGATCTGGTTGAAATCGGTAGCTCTTTAGTGAGTCTCAAATGCGGGGGAAGCTGCACTGGAAATAGGACTACGGTGTGATTCGGATGGTCTCGCGATATTTCGAAGGAGTGGTATGGCAATTTTCGGTTATGTAAATTATACAGATATATGTTGGAATTTCACCCAATTGAAAACACTAGTGAAAAAAAATATTTCACAAACCACTGCATAGCGTGTTTTCACAGAGTATCACGCCACGTAAAATGGGTGAAACTCCATTACTATTGTAAATTTTCCATGCTAATTAAATCACTTGAGAAAAAATTTTTCACCTAGATTTATGATTACTGAGGACGGGTTATTCGTATTATCGTCGGAAGTTGGAGTAGTCGATGTGGAGCCATCGGAGGTGGTACAGAAAGGCCGGCTAGGACCGGGCAGGATGATTCTGGTGGATACGAAACAGGGTGAGTTGGATAATTTCGTGGCGCGTGACGAAAAGTTAATCGGAGAAAATTAATTTTTACAAGGCCTAGAAAGAAATACAATGCATTTCGTGGCGCGTGACGCTGATCTCCAAGGGAAAAAATGACCGAGAAAAGTGAATTTTACAAGGCCTGGAAAAAATACTGTAAATTTCGTGGCGAGTGACGGTGATTTTCACGAAAAAAAGTTCATGTGAAAACGAGTAAAGCGAGAAAAGTGATTTTTACAAGGCCTAGAGTAAGATATAATGTATTTTGTGGCGCGTGATGGTGAATTTCACGGGAAAAAAATTAACCGAAATTTTACAAGCAAATTTTAAATTTAACAATTTTACAAGTTCATTTGGAAACCTTTTTTGAAAATTGTGGTGTTATAGCTTTGTGAAAAATGCGATAATTTTTGGAGGCAAATTTCACTAGGCCTAATCAGGCGATAAAAATTCGCCAAATTTCTCTCAGAATTTTAATATTGTCATCAGAATATGTAACATATTTTCCCACACTGCTTTTGATGTGATCAGGCCGAGTGGTTTTGGATAGCGAAATCAAGGATACTTTCAGCAGGATTGCACCCTTTAAAAATTTCCTGCAACAAGCGGTCTTTATAGATGCGGAATCTACAAAGAGGATTACTGTTGATGATTATGGTTCGAAGGGCAAGGTGAGCGGGTCGAAAATTTGGTACAGGAAAACATGCACATGGTGAACTACATGTGTTGATGACAATGGGAAAATTCCGAGAGAATTTTGGTGAATTTTTTTCATTGGTTTTGGCACAGGTCAACTCAGCTGAGGGAAGATATATTTCACATTCGTGAAACCGTCTGGGGAAATCGAAGCGGTTTTTTATTTGTTTCTGGCTTGAAAAACTGCTATCAGAGCATACCCCAGTGTTCAGCCTCAAACGCTCATTGGTTAACACGAAATACTAAAATTTAGAATTTTTCTCCGTGAGTGAAAAAAAAATCGCGTCTCGCTGTGCTGCGTATTATTGGCATCGCGAGTGGCTGTGGTATTCTCCTTAGGGCATGCCTGAATGAAATTGGAAAAGTTTGATAATTGAAAATTCGCAAATATTTTTACTTGAAAATTATTTGTTAAGTTGCCCGTGAGTTAAAAAAAATCGCTCATTACGTAAACTTTCTTTGGGGAATTGAAATAACATTAAAAGTGTTTGGCAATTGAAAATTCCGGCAAACTGATGCGCTGATCATCGTTTTTCGTATACGTATACTTTCTTTAGGGAATACCAATAACATTGGAAGTGCTCGATATTGCTGAAGTCGCGGTAACAGAGCAGTTGGTCATGCATGGTTATGTAGCTGAGATGCTCGATATGATATTGGGCCCGATGGCGAGAGTCGGCCAGGAGCCTCTAGGTGGGCCTACTTTGAATCTTTATGTGGGGAACCTTGGATATCTTTTGATAGTTATTATGAAACATTGATTTAAAAATGTTCGAGCTGGGGTTCGAACCCGCATGCATAGTTTTAATGAACGAATAGACCCTAGTGTACATACCAAGATGGGAGTAGAATGATTATGATGGTGCCGATTCTCGAACATCGCTAGTGTAACAATCACTAGTGTGTTATGCAAGTAGCACTATAAAGATTCCGTATAGGTAGACCGAGATATAAGTTTCAACTGCGCACTACTCAACGACTAGAGCAGAACGATGTAGATATACATGAGATACGTTTGCTGAGGGACAAGGCTATGTAGCTATTTACTGATGATTACTGTGAGAAATTTTAATTGGAAAAATGTCGTAGCTGGGATTCGCACCTGCGACCTCTGGTCATGTTGTCATGTTGAGAATATGGTAAACGCAGTATAGATGAGTTATGTATTGGTAAATGAATGTTGATGAACTATGTGATAAGATTAAGAGTAGGAAAAAGTCAACTACATGTGCTGATGACAACGCGAAAATTTTGGCGAAAATTTTGTCTTTTTACACTTGAAAATATCGCATTTTTCGCCGAAAAAAATGAGAGTTTCTCAGAGTGTTTCTGAGTAACGCCATATGGAGCGGAAAACTCTCGCATCTGCTTCTAAGTTTCCTATACTATCAAATTATGGGTAATTTTCGGGCGCGCGCTTTTTACAAATAAGCTCAGGTTCGATGGGTCACGATGCACCACTGGCGTGCTTATCTCGGCTGCCGTTATCATCGTTTTACTATATGCAGCAGCTCTTCGCAGAGGCGACTAACCCTGCGATTGACCCTCTACGAGAGTCCATTGTGATGAGCTTGGAGTGCCCTATAGGACCGCAGTTGTTGAGCTGTGACGAGCAGTGTGAAAGGGCCGATTTTGAAAGACCTCATGCGCTTGCGTGCGGACCTAATCCGGCGAGAAGGGTGGTATTGGACGAACCGATTCTGTGTCCGTGGAGATATCAACAATTGTTGGACTTGGACAGCGAGAGAGATGGAACGACGTTTCCGGTTAGTGTGGTGGACACTACATATAGGATCGAAGCTGGCAGGGATATAAGGAGAGGAGGAGGTGGGCGGGCGCGTAATTTTGTGGCGCGTGACGGTGATTGATGACATCATGTCGGGGTGGAATCACCTGCGTTAGTGAAAATACTAAAAACCTGAGAATTTTTCGTGCTGCTATTTGGAACACAGCTGAGCTCAGGTGAGGAAAGCAAATATATATTCCAGCGCCATGGAGTTCCACCCGTGATATGAGAAACAATGATAAAGAACATATTTCACGACTACTGCATAGTGCGAATATCGGGCTTTTTTTTTCACGGAGTATTACGCCACTTCACGGAAAACGGGTGAAATTCTAATAATGTGGAGGATGCCGGGATTGAACCTGCGGTCTCTGGTTTTAGCTCTGAGAGATTTCTCGGGGGCGTGTGCACTTGAGTCGAGACTTCATGATATTTGCGAGGAAGCAGAGGCGGCAGTTCATGATGGTGCGGGAATATTAATTCTCTGTGATCGTCGGGCTGGTGAGTATCTTTTAATCTGTCGGAACCTCAGGGGACATGAAGATTCTTTTTAGGTCCGAGTAGAGTACCTGTTGATGCCCTCCTTGCAGTAGGGGCGGTTCACCATCGTTTGATAAAATGCCGTTTGAGAAGCCAAACTGCTATTATAGCTGAGGTGAATGCTCTCGTGTGAAGTGTGGGAAAAAATATGCACATGGTCAACTACATTAGGAGAATATGAAGATTGTGCGGAAACTTGGTTGAATTCTTATTGGTTTCTGTCTACTTATATTTGTATACGAACTGTTAAACTCGGCTGAGGAAAGCGAACATATATTCCAACATTGAAGAAACTAATTCATTGATAATTTATAATGGAATCCAGCTTCTGTGAATATACATTAACAGAGGGATAGCAGAGGGTGGCTTGGTAGTTTTGGAATTAATTTCAGGTTGGTGCGGTATCGTCCATACACCAGATGTGTTGCCTGCTAGCGTTTGGTGCTGATGCTATTTATCCTTATCTGGCATACGCTGCTTTAACGAGGTAAATTCGGGCGTTGGTGTGCTTTCATCGTGATGGAAATGCTAAGAACATACGGAGGTTTGTGGAGGCTAGTACCGCTAGGGGCTGTGCTCGAGGAGTTTCGCCGATGACGTGTTACTCTGTCTCTAGAGTAACAGTAACAGTGTAGAGTAACTCTAGAGTAACAGTAACAGTGTAGAGTAACTCTAGAGTAACAGTAACAGTGTAGAGTAACTCTAGAGTAACAGTAACAGTGTAGAGTAACTCTAGAGTAACAGTAACAGTGTAGAGTAACTCTAGAGTAACAGTAACAGTGTAGAGTAACTCTAGAGTAACAGTAACAGTGTAGAGTAACTCTAGAGTAACAGTAACAGTGTAGAGTAACTCTAGAGTAACAGTAACAGTGTAGAGTAACTCTAGAGTAACAGTAACAGTGTAGAGTAACTCTAGAGTAACAGTAACAGTGTAGAGTAACTCTAGAGTAACAGTAACAGTGTAGAGTAACTCTAGAGTAACAGTAACAGTGTAGAGTAACTCTAGAGTAACAGTAACAGTGTAGAGTAACTCTAGAGTAACAGTAACAGTGTAGAGTAACTCTAGAGTAACAGTAACAGTGTAGAGTAACTCTAGAGTAACAGTAACAGTGTAGAGTAACTCTAGAGCAACAGTAACAGTGTAGAGGAACTCTAGAGTAACAGTGTAGAGTAACTCTAGAGTAACAGTAACAGTGTAGAGTAACTCTAGAGTAACAGTAACAGTGTAGAGTAACTCTAGAGCAACAGTAACAGTGTAGAGGAGCTCTAGAGTAACAGTGTAGAGTAACTCTAGAGTAACAGTAACAGTGTAGAGTAACTCTAGAGTAACAGTAACAGTGTAGAGTAACTCTAGAGTAACAGTAACAGTGTAGAGTAACTCTAGAGTAACAGTAAAAGTGTAGAGTAACTCTAGAGTAACAGTAACAGTGTAGAGTAACTCTAGAGTAACAGTAACAGTGTAGAGTAACTCTAGAGCAACAGTAACAGTGTAGAGGAACTCTAGAGTAACAGTGTAGAGTAACTCTAGAGTAACAGTAACAGTGTAGAGTAACTCTAGAGTAACAGTAACAGTGTAGAGTAACTCTAGAGTAACAGTAACAGTGTAGAGTACCTCTAGAGTAACAGTAACAGTGTAGAGTAACTCTAGAGTAACAGTAACAGTGTAGAGTAACTCTAGAGTAACAGTAACAGTGTAGAGTAACTCTAGAGTAACAGTAACAGTGTAGAGTAACTCTAGAGTAACAGTAACAGTGTAGAGTAACTCTAGAGTAACAGTAACAGTATAGAGTAACTCTAGAGTAACAGTAGATTTGAAAGTATATCGCATATACAATGTAGCGATGGCTATGAACATTTGTTGTGATGATGAGAGTACCCGTTTGGGACTGTGATGATAGTGACAACTTTTTCACTATCATTTGTCCTACGAAATAACACACATTTGCATATCAAACTGCCACGTACTCAACGTGGATGAAATTTAATCTCTTACATATGTTGCGCATAGATTGATTCATGCCTGTCTAGAAATTAACGCGGTCTTTCACATTAGCATTTCAAGTGAGCACGTCTTGTATGTTGGTGTCAGAGTGCGTCCGTCGAGTATGGGGGTTGCGAGGGACTCGACTGTGGTGGAGATGAGCTTGAATAAGATGGTGAAGAATTATAGGGCTGCGGCACATGCTGGAATTCTCAAGGTGAGGGGGGAGGGAAATATACCCTACCCGGGGATCGAACCCGGAATCTCCACCTTAGGAGGGTGGCGCCTTATCCATTGGGCCAGCAGGGCGTGTGTGTCGTTGATATTCGTATAGCTTCCCTTCCAGGTTATGTCCAAGATGGGTATTTCATGCCTGTCGAGTTACAAAGGAGCTCAACTATTCCAATGCATTGGCCTTGCACCTGACGTTAGGAATCTCTGTTTTGATGCATGTTTGTCATCACTTGGGGGCGTGGGCTTCCGAGCCTTGCAAGAAGATGCGCTCAGGCTACACACTAATGTGAGTTGATGTTGGCAATAGAGCGAGTTCCTCTACTCTTATGGAGTTCTCTGACCTTTTTCTGGCTGCAGGGATAAGTGTGTCCCGAACCTGAGCAGGAATAAAAGTACATGAAAGAATCGCGATGAACACTACAGTGCGTGTCAATTTGATATGCAAATGTGTGTAGGGCAAATGACAGTGAACAAGTTGTCGCTATCATCACAGTCCCAAACGGGTACTCTCATCATCACAACACATGTTCATAGCCATCGTTACATCGCATATGCGATATAGTTTCAAATCGATTATCATTAACTTCATAAAATAACACACATTTGCATATCAAATTCACACGTACTGTATTTAGGCGTATCCTTCTCGCCCCCTGCCACCCCTGGTAGACGCCGAGACGAGCCGCTATGCGCTGCCCGAGATGGGCATGTATCATTTCCGCTCCGTCGGGAACGCATCGGAGCTCCACATGAACGCCCCTGATGTTATAGCGAAGGTTCAGGTGGGTTGATTAAAAAATGACACCTGTGGGATTCGAACCTTGTGTAGGAGTCGGCCAGAAAAGACTCGCCGATCGCATACAAGGAATATGAAGAATGGGAAAACGCCTTAGTCGATGAGTGTGAACTCCGCGGGCTTTTGGAGATTTGCTATGACAAGTGTTCGCCGATCGCTGTGGAAAGCGTGGAAACGGAGACTGAAATTGTAAAGAGATTCTGCACAGGTGGGGTTTGGCCTTCGCTCCGCTGTTGGTGAGAGGCTTGGAATGGACCTAGTTTGTATCATACCATGTTGAGCCTTTGGATACGCTGTTGATGGATGTGCTTCTCCTAAGAGGAATATATGTTTGCCTTTCTCAGCTGAGCTCGGGAGTTTCCTCAATTATTGTGGAAGTTTACATACAAAGTGTAAAGAAAGCAATGAGAAATTTCCTCTCAAGATTTTCATATTGTCACCAACATATGTAATTGAACATGTGAATATTTTACTGCACTGCCTACTACTCGCGCTCCGTTGTGATAGCATAGGAGTCTGGAAGAACAATTTTGTGAAATTTATCGCTGCATCGCTCCGCTGACCTCATTTCACAGGTGCTGTTTCTTTTGGTGCCATCTCGTCACCGACCCACGAGGCGTTGGCTATGGCGATGAACTCCCTGGGTGGTCGATCTAATACGGGAGAAGGGGGAGAAGATGAGGCCAGGTGGGATCGTATTATACCCCCCTTTTGTGGCGGGATCTGCACATTTGTTGATGAGAATATGTTAGGAAAATTCTCGCATAATTTCTGTACACGAATACCGGAATTAGTGTATAAATCATCGTATTTTGCAACGAAACTACTGAGCTCAGCAGCTGAGGAAAGCGATTACATATATTCCTACTCCAACACTGTATAGGAAACTCTTCTGAGCTCAGCAGCTGAGGAAAGCGAACATATATTCTTATTCCAACACTGTATAGGAAATTCTTCTGAGCTCAGATGAGGAAAGGGAACAAATATTCCTACTCCAACATTGTATAGGAAACTCTTCTGAGCTCAGCAGCTGAGGAAAGCGAACATATATTCCGACTCCAACGACACTGGCTCATTTAGGTTTGGTGAAGATAATGAGGTGAGGTCTCGTATCAAGCAAGTAGCCTCTGGCCGATTCGGTGTAACTGCGGCGTATTTGGCGGACGCTGACGAGATTCAGATAAAACTAGCACAGGTGGGGGTTTTGGCAGTTTGGAAATTCTGAGGAAATTCTCTTTGGTTTTTGTACTCGAACTCGTATGTAAACGTGAGGGAACTCCTGAGCTCAGCTGAGGAAAGCGAACATATACCAACTTCAACTTTGGGTTTCGGAATTCCTATCGCGTCCTGTATGTTTTGAAACTCTAGCATGTAGTGTTGAAGAGTTGGAATATATGTTCGCTTTTCTCAGTTGAACTCAGAAGAGTTTCCTCACTAACTGCACACGTTTACATACAAATCCGTATAGAATCAATGAGAATTTCCCGAAATTTTCACCAACTTATGTACATATTTGAATCTGGGTGTATACTTGAACTGTATCAGAAGAGCCACGGATATGATATTCGACACACCGAAGTTCAGCAATCGTTGACATTGACGGTCCAATTCCGAAGTCCAGCCTTTGTCCGTATACACCGAGCCTTCCTTGGTCAGGGCGCTAAGCCGGGCGAAGGAGGGGAGTTGCCAGGGTATAAGGTCGTCGGTGCCATCGCGGAGATTCGGAAGTCCACCCCGGGGGTTGGGCTGATATCACCTCCTCCTCATCACGATATGTACAGTATTGAGGATGTGGCTCAACTGATATCGGATTTGAAACATGTGAGTGGAAGTGAATCGGGGATGGTATTATCAATTCGTTGAGGAAATGCAAGAGAGCAAGTGGTGGCAAGTCTAATCACACTAAAAATACAGTGTGAACCGAATCGTTTTCAACGTTGAGGAAATGCAAGAGAGCAAGTGGTGGCAAGTCTAGTCACACTAGAAATACAGTGTGAAACAAATCGTTATGCATATCTAGGTTCTCTTTAATTTGAGAGTAGTACGACTATAGGCTACTGACCGCTCCTGAAACGCTGGTGTCAATCGATTCACATTGTTATCATGTTGACTTTCGAACTCTTAAAAAAATTGAGGGAGTTACTTTGCATAACAGTTTGCTCCACACCGTATAATGTGTTGGGAGAATATACCCTACCCGGGGATCGAACCCGGAATCTCCACCTTAGGAGGGTGGCGCCTTATCCATTGGGCCAGCAGGGCGTATGGATGAGGAGTTTTCGCTTGTGGTTTAGACCAATCCAACGGCAAGAATATCTCTCAAGTTGGTGTCTAAGATCGGAGTAGGCATCATCGCCGCTGGCCTAGTGAAGGGTGGTGCTGGTCATGTTGTTATCTCTGGCAACAGTGGGGGGACGGGCGCCGCGAAATGGACCAGTATTAAACACGCTGGAGGGCCGTGGGAACTGGGCCTGGCAGAGTCGCATCAGGTGAGGCGTAGCGGTGAGTGAAAGTATACGCGTATTAGATGTGAATATATAGTTGAAAATTATACGTAATATGAGTTTCACACTAGTGTAAAATATATTCCACGACTACTGCATATCACTGTATTGGGGTTTTCACGGAGAATTGCGTGACTTCGCGTAAAACGGCTTGTGAAAGGCCTACATAGTAAAGTAGGCCAACAAAGTAAATATAATTGATCGATTGATAGTTTTTGTAAAATATTGGAGTATGATAATCCACCAGCGAGAAGAAAAATTTTACAATTTTTTTCCTTTTCGCTTTCGTGAGTTCGAATCCCGGGGATGTCATTATTTCTGCAGGTGTTGGTTTTGAATGGTCTCCGTGATCGAGTGGTGCTGCAAGCGGATGGACAGATCAGGACGGCTCGGGATGTTGTCTACGCGGGTCTGCTGGGCAGCGACGAAATTGCTATGACAACGGTGAGATCTCAGACGGTGAAATGTGTGTGGGAAGAATGTGCCGATAATCTAGGTGCCGATGATCGCACTGGGGTGTGTTATGATGAGGAAATGTCATCTTAATACGTGCCCTGTGGGAATCGCCACTCAAGATCCAGAGTTAGTTCGAAAGTTCGCGGGCCAGCCTGAGCACTTGGTGAACTTCCTATGGCTGATGGCTGGAGAAGTGAGGCAGATTATGGCTAGACTTGGCATGAGGCGATTCGAGGTGAGTGTGGTATAGGAAAAGTGGACGGGGGAAGATTTTAAGAATGATGACTTTCCTATAATCGTTGTGAAAGGGCTTACATTCGAGTTCAAAACCGCGCGAAACGCACGGTTGACTTACTATGCTACTATACGCTGCTTACTATGCTACTACTGGTACTTACTATCCTATGCTATTATATTGATTCGGGATTATAGAAGATATCTATCGTACAGTCATTTCGGTTCACTCTGTTGTTCGTTTTGGACACTTCATCACAAAATCAGAAACCCGGATTTTGTATTGATGTCATCGAGCTTCTGGTGAAAAGTTCGTGGTTTTTAACACTTCCTATCCCACCGGTTTAACACGTGCTAAAACATCACACTCCGCGGCATTTTCTACGTCGCATTACTCCTCATTGACAGTGTTAACTCATTGGAGCAGGCGAGTAATAGCCAGTATAGAGGTATAGCTGTGGGCTCAGTCACTGCTGTCTGAGCCTGCAGTATAAATCGGTAGATAGTGTGTTACACGACAGAGAGTTCGATAATGTTAACTTCTTACTCGTATAGAACTATTTCCGTTAGCATGTAATAGAATATCAGGAAAATTAATGTTATACGCCGATTTATTCGATAGTTTAGGAATTCAATGTAACAAGGACTCGCCCAATGAACATGCGTGATAACTGCAAGAAATCGCAATTCCGTGATGCTGTCGTTGGAGTAATTCTTTTGTACTCAAGTAGATCTGAGTGTCGTCGAAAAACGCGATATTCGCGGTGATATGCTGTAGTCGTGGAATATGTTTTTCATATCACTAGGGTGGTGGAACTCCTTTGGAGGGCCCAGGCGATGATGGTGTTATTGCAGGATTTGATCGGCCGAACGGACCTTCTTCGCATGAAGTCAGTGGTGCGTGAGAATAAGAAGACTGCTGTGATCGATTTGTCGGATATGCTTAAGCCGACTTGGGAGGCCTGGAGACGTGGAGATTCGCAGATGGGAAGGTGAGAGGAGAGTGGTATGAGCTTTGGTATTTTATGTATAGTATGCGGCGCAATGTAAATAATTAAAGTCCCGGATCAAATTCTGGGAAACGAGGATTCGATCAGAAATATGTGTAAGAAGAACATACATACAAAGTTTCGGCTGGTGACACGAAACGGGCTTTCCATATTGCACGTACTGTACAAAATTTCGAGAATTTGAGCTTTTGTCAAAGTTATGTAGCGGGCTCTTTATACTGCGTGTACTCTCTCAGAGGTCAGCGTGGGGAAGCATCGGCTACGGAATCAACGGTGGTCGGGTCTCCTGAGTCTAGATCGTCAGTGGCTGAGGATCTCGATGAGCGCATCCTTGCTCGGGCAAGGGCGATGATAGAAGGGGATGACAGCGATCTGGCACTGGAGGTAGGGGACTAATGAGCGCGAGCAAATTTAACAATGGAGTTTCACTGGTGATGTGAAAAAGACATTTCACATTTCACTCCACGGAGAACAGCTGTTTAATCAGACGCGGAAATTTACACGGAGTATCACGCCACTTCACGTAAAACGGGCGAAACTGCACTAATATACACTTATTAATATATATTTGATATATGGTCAGCAACCAAGGTGATGATGATATTAAGAATGATAATATTTTTTGTATTTGTAGGTGTGTTTATGCATTAGAATTCACCCGTTTTACGTGAAGTAGCGTAATACTTGGTAAAAACGCGAAGTGGTTTGTGAAATATGTTTTCCACTAGTGTTTTTCATATCGCGGGTATAACTCTATTGATAATATGAACTGCTGTGATCAGATGAAAGAGCCTATTTTGATCAACAATAGCGATCGAACGGTTGGCGCAAGGCTTTCATATGAGATTGCCAAGCACAGAGGATCGGCTGGTTTGCTCGAAGGTAGAGAGTGTTCGTGCCTCTTTAGTAGGGGAAAATATGCACATGGTCATGGACATATGTTGGTGGAAATTTGATAATTTCGAAGAGATTGTAGGACATTCCTGTTGGGTTTCTATCCAAATTGGTATATGAACTTGTATAATTAGTGAGAAAATTTCCGAGCTCAGCTGAGGGAAGCGAACAAATATTCCTACAACGCTGTATTCCGATATTGGCAGTTGATGTAGTGGACTTTAGTAGTCATCTATAGACTGAATAGAGCGGCTTATGGTGTCGTAACTGGTCGGTTAGTTGGTGTGTGCTTCTTTTTGGGAAAATTTTGTTTGCGACTTTTTACAGTTCAGCGGTTGGCTGTTAGTGTGCGAACTCTTCAGTCATTGACTTATTCTTATATGTGAATGGATAAAGAGATGTCTATTCCGGCTTGAGCTAATAATTTCACCTCGTTCCCCAGACAGTGTGTCCGAGTGGTTAAGGAGGTGGACTTGAAATCCACTGGGCTCTGCCCGCGCAGGTTCGATTCCTGCTGCTGTCGTTAATTGGTGTCACTATACATAAAAGATCATTAGTTTAGAATACCTTCTTCGGGTGGATGTGGAGATTGTCAATCCCAAGTTGGGAATATCATCTGCACAAAGTTGAGATTTCTTCTCTTTTGGAAAATCACTAGGAACCCGACTTTTCGTGACGAAATGTCTCTGGGGAGTTTGCGATTGGCTTCTGCTGGTGCTGGTGACGCCCGTGGCTTCTCTCAGGGTCGTTGCTGGTTTCCTTTTTTGGGAGTGCTGGACAGTCGTTTGGATCGTGGTTAATGAAGGGAGTATCCTTCTCGCTAGAGGGAGAGGCTAATGATTATGTCGGGAAAGGTCTATGCGGCGGGGATATTGACATAGTAATGGCGACACGGGGGGAGAATTGAACCAGGGTTCTTGGGGTTAGGAGTATAACGCTCTACTCACTGAGCTATTCAACTGTGGTGCTGTTTGGCTATGGTTTTTCCATCCCTCAGCGGCCACCGAAACCGCGCGCGCCCGAGTTCCTCCCCGAAGACAACGTCATCGTGGGAAATGCCTGTTTGTATGGTGCCACTGGCGGAAGACTTTTCATAAATGGTCAAGCAGGAGACAGGTATGTTCATCGAGATTGAGACAGTTTGATTTGATATTTGTTTTAGATTTGCTGTTCGTAATAGCGGAGCAGTAGCTGTCGTCGAAGGGTGCGGAGATCATGGTTGCGAGTATATGACTCGAGGGGTTGTTGTTGTGCTCGGCACCACGGGGAGGAACTTCGCTGCTGGTATATCGCAGTGTGGGAAAACATGCACATGTGTTGGTGACAGTATGGAAGTTTTGGTTTTTGCAAATTTCTATGTGAGTTCGTGTGTGAATTTTTATGATGTAGTGAGGAAACTGCTGAGCTCAGCTGAGCGAAGCGAATATAGATTTCGACATTGCCTTCGACACTTCCCTATAGGTTCGACATTGACATTGTTGTAGTTATAATACTTTATATTAAATTTGCATAAATGTAGGTATATCAATATGACATAATTTGTCGATGGGAGTGTAAATGTGCTAAAGCTTTTTCTCAGCGTCAACGATAGCATTCGTCAAGTGTTCCTCGTAGTACAAAACTGTCGTATGGATCTATTCCGCAGTCTCACAAGATTCACAAAATTAGTAATTACGTCGTCCAAAATACCGAAGCGAAATCTGATTGCCGAATCAGATTTTTTTGTGATTGCTCATATTTTATCACAATTCCACATATACCCGATTATAGATAAATCAGTGATAGACAATATTCATGTCAAAACTGCCGGGCTCGGCTGAGGAGCACTTCTCTTTGGGTTTCACAATAACATTGCTTTGGTTATAATTCTGTCGTATGTGAGATTAGAGTATTTTAGGTATGTCGGGAGGTCTGTCGTATGTTTTGGACTTGGATCGCAACCACTGCAATAAACAGACTGTTTACCTGGACCCGCTGGGAGGAGACGCTCGTGAGGACAAGTAAGAGATATACGCTGTTTTCCCTACCAACGCATGTTGTGGGAAGATATACGCATGGTCAACTACTGAGAAAGTTTTTGGGAAATTCTCGTTGGTTCGCTCTCCTTAGCGGAGTCTAGGAGTTTGATTGCTTACTATAGAATTTTATATATGAATTCGGGTGGATGTATACAGAAATCCAAGAGAATTTTCCCGAAATTTCCTCTCAGAATTTTCATATTGTCACCAACACGTGAGCCGCTAATCAGCAAATGATGTGGTTGTGAATGCTGAGTATGCCTAGATATTATGTGGTTGTGGATGCTCAATGCGCAAGGTATATGGAGCGAAAAACTTTTTACACTTTTCGATTTGTGCATGTCATCCTTGCGCAGGGGTTATAATAATTTTATCGGCGCGATCACAGTCATTATTGTGTTTTTTTCAGAGTTGCCCTGAAGGCGCTGTTGTCGGAGCATCTGAAGAGGACGGGTTCGCCACAAGCGGCGAAGCTCCTCGCTGACTGGGCCAACTCGATCAAGCGATTCACGAAAGTGAGTTTCGATTGGAAATAGTTTCGTGGCGAGTGACGCTGACAGGTCTTCCCTCATGAGTATAAACGCGTGTTGAAAGAAGCAATCGTGGAACATGTGAAGACGGGCAGTACGGTCGCTGCGGGGATCCTCAACGACTTTGAAAATATGCGGCGTTCTTGTGTGAGCACGAAGACTTCAGCGAAAAGCGTAGGCGAATCGGATTGAAAAATCTTCGCAGTGCGTGACGTGTGAATCTTAGATAATTGCGCGATATAATTTATGGAGGAGTACGGTCGATGGTAAGGAAGATCACACGTTGGAGGCGTTGGGGTTGGGGGACGTGCCGAAGGACAATGTTGGTGATTTGCTCAATAATGTGTCTTCTGGTCGAGGGATGGCCAGGGCGTTCCGAATGGGGTAGGGAGTATTTTTAGTGACATGTGCTGGCGTGCTGAGAAGGTCAGTGGTATATGAGCTTTTCTTGAGATATTCTTGAAAATAGTTGTGAAAACTTTATAGTGTTACTTTGATGTACGGTAACTTTCTAGTGACCTTTTTAGTGACATGTGCTGGCGTGCTGGAAGGGCACTAGTGATGTATATGAGTTTTTCTTGAGATATTGAAGACAGTAGTGGAAACTTTGGTAACTTTTTAGTGACATGTGCTGGCGTGCTTGAGAGGTGAACATTCACTGTTGTAGGCAGTGTGAGAATATATTCACATGGTCAACTACATGTGTTGGTGACAATATGAAAATTGTGAGGAAATTTTGGGAAATCCTTGTTGGTTTCTGTTCACTTCTACTCGAATTCGTATATAAACTCCTGTAATTAGCTTTGGAAACTCTTCTGAGCTCAGCAGCTGAGGAAAGCGAACATATATTCCTACTCCAACACTGTATAGGAAACTCTTCTGAGCTCAGCAGCTGAGGAAAGCGATTACATATATTCCTACTCCAACACTGTATAGGAAACTCTTCTGAGCTCAGCAGCTGAGGAAAGCGATTACATATATTCCTACTCCAACACTGTATAGGAAACTCTTCTGAGCTCAGCAGCTGAGGAAAGCGATTACATATATTCCTACTCCAACACTGTATAGGAAACTCTTCTGAGCTCAGCTGAGGAAAGCGATTACATATATTCCTACTCCAACACTGTATAGGAAACTCTTCTGAGCTCAGCTGAGGAAAGCGATTACATATATTCCTACTCCAACACTGTATAGGAAACTCTTCTGAGCTCAGCAGCTGAGGAAAGCGATTACATATATTCCTACTCCAACACTGTATAGGAAACTCTTCTGAGCTCAGCAGCTGAGGAAAGCGATAACATATATTCCTACTCCAACGCTGTATGGGGAACTCTTCTGAGCTCAGCAGCTGAGGAAAGCGATTACATATATTCCTACTCCAACACTGGTCGTAGATATCGCATGTGGAGGAAAGGGCACTATAAAGGCTCCAAGGACTTACCACTCGTTGTTGACATCGATCGCTTTCTAGCGGAGCAATTCCCTCATCAATGGGAAAAATTCACGGAAGGACTCAAAAAGGTGGGATCGCCCTATGTTGAACATTTTCCGGATTTTTTCCCGCTGAATCAGACGCCGGGAGCATCGGATCCTCTAACACCAGCAGTTAGATCTTTGGCAAAAGCAACAGCACGAAGCCCTCCCGCGAGTGGTCATTCGAGGAAGCCCTCCATGGGGTCTGATGGGAAACGAGGTTCTGCTGATATCGAGGATGTGGTGACGGGTATGAGGTGAGCGTTGAGGAAATGCAAGATTGCAAGATTTAGATATGAGGCCGGCTAGTGTGGCCTTCCCTGATAAGCGGGCTGGGTTTAAGTTGTATTCCCGACGGAATCCGATGATTTCGCGCGCCCCGAAATCGAGAGTGCTTGACTGGGAGGAAATATACAGCAAGAAGCCGCATAGATCGAGGCTGTGGGTTCGAACCCTGGTGAGCGCATTTTTTAATGTAATTTTTTAATTGGTCAGATATGACCAGTTGCTGACGACTCAGACTGCTAGATGTATGGACTGTGGCACGCCGACATGCCACTATCCCAATACGGGAGGAGGAGGATGTCCGTTGGGAAATCGCATACCAACATTTAATCAACTCGTATATGAAGGGCAGTGGAAATTGGCATTGGATCGTCTGCTTGATACGAACAACTTCCCGGTGAGCAACTTGAAGTGTTGAAAAATATGTTTTGGATTTCCTCAGTTGAGCTCGGGAATGTTTCACACAAGAATTTGGGTATAAGAATTTTCCTCAGAATTTTCATATTATTCGATAACGCATGTGGTTGACCATGTGCAGATTTTCCTTGTATGCTGGAAATTTCACCATGAACGAAATTTCCCTTCACGAGATGGTAAAAAGCGAGAGATTTCATTTAGTAGA